ACTTGTTTTGATCTTTGTTTGGCCCACTGTGACCCCAGTAGCAATGGACTCTACCACATAGCCTAGGTATTTAGGTTTACCTAAATGCACTCTGTGATGTTCATGTAACAGCAAAATTGCCTAAAAGCACGTTTCTCACAGCATAGCCCTGTCATTATGAGACCTGTGTTTTGGTATTGGTAACATCATAAATCAAAATAGATGCAACTTCCAGTCAAAATAGAGAAGGAAGTGGAAGTACCCATTAAGGTAGATAGAAACTTGGGAAGAGGTTGTGTGGGAAATCTACTGCAGCAGTTACTGAAGGTTTGTCATGACAGTGCATGGAAAATCTGGAAGTACATTGGTGGATGTGCAGACAGCAATCTCTGAAAGACTTGATGTGCCACAAAGAGTTCCTTTTTGATGAAACTTTCTCTTGATTACAGCCAGGCTGTCACTTAAATTAGTTGAAATATATAAGCCAAAAATATAAAAGTATGAGTAGTTTTATGCATCAAGTATAAATTGAAGAGGCAAATGCTATGTTTAGAATGCTAAAAGTCAACCATAATCCTGCATTTTGTCTTAAAAGGATTAGTTGTAGGGGGCCCCCTTTGTTTGGCCCCAGAAAGGCCAAAACTTTGTACTTTTAGAACAACCTGAGAACTTGTGTCTTCCATGAATTCACACTGTCTCAACCTCCTGAGCAAGTGAAGAAAGCATTCAGTTTCTTTTTCGTGGTCAGCTGGGCACAATTCAGCTTGGAACCCCTAGGTTGCAGGAACAGATCTATCCCCTTACTCTGTTAGCAGCCTTCACTGTCTCCTGCCGGGGTGTTAGGAGAAGCTATAATGTTTTCTGTTCTTTTGTGCTGGGAGTCTTCTCTTCACACACTGGGTCTAATAGGTGGCAAGAAAGCTTACTTCTTTGTTCTATTCTTAGTAAGCTTGCATCCTCTCTGACAGCCATTCTTGTAGAGGTAAAACAACCACTATGTTCCACTTTTTGAAATAGAAAATAAATATTTAGTTAGGCCAACACATCTGCTTTCCTATGAATTTTGCTTCAGAATTTTAATGGGTGCCTATGAAAGAGGTGGTTGTTTCAGAAAATACTTAATGCCGTTCTCTATGTATTTCTTGGGTATCTGAAATCTTGTCTGATCCTGGATTAAATCCCATGAAGTTAGAAACGTTGTTCTTTTGAGTTGAGATTGCAGAGGATGACACACTATTCTAGAACAAATTAAATAAGTAAATGTACCCTAAGTATCTTCTCAGAAAGCCAATATTGTGGATGAAAATGACAAGATGATCTAAAGTGGATTCAGGAGTCTTTGTTGAAAGTTTGATTATCTACTTCGTTTAGTTTGACAGTAGAGTTGTTGAATCAGCTCAAATTTATTAATAAAATTTTATGAGAAATAATGCTTATTTTTCTTATATCAAGAAGGGAAATTTTGACTTGTCAGTTTTTCTTCTGTGTAAGTATCTTGCTTTCAGTATAATGTGTTGTGTTTGAAAGATGCATAATAGAATTATTTTTAAAGACCTTTTTGCAACCAGAATTTTGCTGTGTACCCACATGCCATATTTTAAATTTCATAAGCTGTGCTTAAAAAATACAAGATTTTTGTGATGATGATGCTTTTGTATCTTTTCATCTGAGGATGTAAATACTTAGGTGATGAAGGGAAATCCTACTTAAAATAAAAATTGGACATTTATTTCTTTTCATTTCTCAAATAAGTATATTTAGTAGTATTTTAGAATTTGAAATGGTATTTCTTATTCAAATGAATTCTCATATTATTTTGGTTTCATTATCAAATTATTACTACTTAGTTTGACAGATATATTAACTTTTGGTTTCTTTAAAACACCTGCAAAGAGCTTCTTAGTAATGAATAAGGTTTATTTTGGCATGCAGTTTTGGAGGTTCACAGCCCACAACTGGGTAACACCATTAGTCTGTTGTCTGATGAGAAGGGAATGCATGTGGAGGGAGCAGCATGTGAGCCAAGAAGCACAGAAGCTAGGCTGGATGGAGCTTTAAAGATCAACCTTCTCGAGAGAACTGCTGTCTGAGGCCAGCCCTTGGTGATCTGAACACTTGCCATTGGCCTCACCTCCTAGATACTGTAATTAGATCAAGTTCCACCTTTAATCTGTTCACTTTTTATTTTTTAAGATTTATTTATTTATTTGAAAGGCAGAGGTACAGAGAGGCAAAATAAGAGGAAGAGACAAAGAGAAAGAGAGAGATCTTCGATCCACTGGTTTACTCTTCATATAGCCACAACAGCCAGAGCTGTACCAGTGTGCAGCCAGGAGCTTCTTCCCAGTCTCCCACACGGGTACAGGGGACCAAGGACTTGGGCCATCTTCTGCTTTCTCAGGCCATAACAGAGAGCTGGATTGGAAGTAGAGCAGCCCATATAGGATGCTGGCACTGCAAGTGGTGGCTTTGCCTGCTGGGCTACAGTGCCAGACCCCTCCACTCACTTTCTTTGTGTTTGTTTTTAATTTATTTGACAGATAGAGTTAGACAGAGAGAGAGACAAAGAGAAAGGTCTTCCTTCCGTTGGTTCACCCCCCAAATGGCTGCTATGGCCGGCGCTGTACCCATCCGAAGCCAGGAGCCAGGTGCTTCTCCTGGTCTCCATGCAGGTGCAGGGCCCAAGCACTTGGGCCATCCTCCACTGCACTCCCGGGCCACAGCAGAGAGCTGGATTGGAAGAGGAGCAACCGGGACAGAACTGGTGCCCCAACCAGGACTAGAACCCAGTGTGCCGGCGCCAGCCTCCTTTATTCTCTTAATGACATAGTTGCATTGCTTCCTGAATGTTTAGCAACCTTGTATTCTCAAAATCAACCAAATTTCGTCTCTATTATCCAGTTGATCTGTTGCTAGGTTCTGATTTTTCCTGCTTTGTTGAGAATGTTTTAATCTATGTTCATGAGAGAAACTGGGATACCGGTGCCACAGGCGGAGGATTAGCCAAGTGAGCCATGGCGCTGACCCCTTTCCATTCATTTTTAACTTAAGAATTTGGAGACAAAGCTCCCAGTACACAGGCTTAAAAGTTATCCTTAATTCGATTTTCTGTAAACTTTTTTTGAAATATTCTTGTTTGATATAGACATTAAAGAGATTTGCAATACTGCAAAGCAGTGTTGTTCTTCTGTTTGTTTCTGAAATTAGTTTTTATAAAAATTTTATCTGTTGTATGCAGTGTTTATTTAATAAAAAAAACTGTTTTCAATTCCTAAAACAGTAAGTACAGATATAATGTACATAATCAGGAATTTACTGGGTTACCAGTTTTATTTAGGGGTGTAAAGAGAATCTGAGATAAGTTGAGAATTGCTGATTGAGTGAAATGATTCTATAACTGAAATATAAGTTGGAGAGAGTACATTTTAAGGTAAGAGACTTGACCTATACAGTGAATAGTAAGGAGTCACAGAATATTTTTGAACAGAAAAGTGGTAGAAATCAAAGTGGTGCACATGCAGAGAAGATTTGTCGGGAGGGGTGGATACATTGGAATGGAAGAAGGGATGTGTACCGGGGAGAAGTGGTCATAGAACATTAACCCAAGGACAGATGGTTAGTCTTATGTGAGAGACTTGTAAAGGCAATATTATCATAGTTGCTGATAGAATAAAGAGAGAGAGAGAAGTTAAATGTTAAGTGTGAGCTTTGGTTAAGAGTCTCATTTGTAGGAAAAGTTGAACTGTTTATAATTCTTTTGTGGTTTTGTTATTACACATTTGTGATTTAATTCCCAGTAGAAATATCCAGCAGGGAAGTAGAAAATGAGGCCAGATAGCCTTCTAGCTATTGCAGTATCATGAAGTACTGGTATTGCTTAAAATTAGGAGTATTTGATAAGCAAACGGTGATGTAATTGCAAAACAAAAGCAAAAGTGAGGGGCAGTGCTTTGGTGTAGTAGGTGAGGCCACTGCCTGCAAGGGCTGGCATCCCTTATGGGCACTGGTTCAAGTCCTGCTGCTCCTCTTCCAATCCAGCTCTCTGGTATGGCCTGGGAAACCAGTAGAAGATGTCCCAATCCCTTGAGCCCCTGCACCCGTGTGGGAGACCTGGAAGAATCTCCAGGCTCCTGGCCTTAGATTGGCCCAGCTCCGGCCGTTGCGGCCATTTAGGGAGTGAATCAGCGGATGGAAGACCTCTCTCTCTCTGCCTCTCTATAACTCTGCTTTTCAAATAAATAAATAAATCCTTAAAAAACGTGTATTGTGTTGGCTAGATGATCATCTATCAAAATCTAGTAAAGTGTACATTTATTAACTGTTACGTGCTTGACATTGTGTCATCTGTTTTTCACAGTTACTGTGTGTGTGTGTGTGTGAGTGAGTGAGAGAGAGAAAGAGAGAGAGAGGAGAGAGGAGAGAGAGGGTCTTAAGCCCTATTAACCCATGTCCTTTAATTTTCATGACTTATTTACAGCATATACAAAAGGTTATTTCCGTGTGAAGAGTAATAAAATGTTGTCTAAACAAGTTCTAATCCAAACTTAATGAAAATAGACTTTTCTTTTTTAAAGAAGTGACAAAATTAGCCAGCGGTACATGGAAGAGAAACATGTATTTTATATCTCTCTTAACAGAATTGTTTTTCCTTGAGATTTATTGATACTGTGTGGATGATTTACTAAGCCTTTTTAAAACAGCTGAAAATGCACTCCCATCTGATAAAATGAGAAACTGAACAAAATATCTATTCAGATGAATGATTTGCGGAAGGAATAATGCTGCAAATGAATTATCAAAGTGTGGCATCATGAAAAACAAAACATGTTTGGACTGTTACTGAATCTTAATTGTAGGTTTTTGTATTTTCTTTTGTAAGTAAGTTAAAAGAAAATTGCTTAACTAAAATTTGGAGGCCAGAGCTGTAAGACATATATTAATATTTATATCATAATTTATGTTTTACATAAAAGTTGCTATTCATTTCTTTCAGCATTAACTTGCATGCTTTCCTCATGTAGGAGAATATATAAAAAACTGGAGGCCACGATACTTCCTTTTGAAGACAGATGGCTCATTCATAGGATATAAAGAGAAACCTCAAGATGTGGATTTACCTTACCCCCTCAACAACTTTTCAGTGGCAAGTAAGTTATTTATAATTGTTGATCGAACTTACTTATTTGTATGATTTTCTGTGTCAGATATTTTGAGATAAGATATATGAAAATTTCAATTCATTAGCCTAGGAATTAGTGAGAATATGTGGTTATGATACAGTGCAGTTTGATGTTTTTAAAATTTAGAACTTGAATGTAGTAAATATGATTCCACAGATTATGTACCTCAAACACCTTTGGACTTGGTTGCTAGGTTGAACTTGGCTGTAAAATGTTACAGTACTTACTGTATTTCTAATCAAAGTTTTGTATCATAATTTTATCTCTTGAGTAATTATGTGATGAGAAGCAAGTGATTTACATTCAGAACCATTTTCTGGGAGATTTATATTTGTAGTTAAAATTTTTTCCCTTATAAGTATTTATCAGCAGTGTTTATAACTTCTATAGAAATTTATTTGCTTGAGCATAGCATGAAATAAACTGAAAGATAACAAGGTGGTGATGGTGATGATTGTATTATTAAGACCCAGGTGCTCTTCAGACTGTTGTAATTTACCAGTGAATTGATAAAAGGATCTCTCTGAGCTAATTCAGAAACTAGAGCATTTTAAAAGTTATTTTAAATTAAAATAATTTTGTGTAAGAACTAGTTGTGTTTCTGAAATGAAATTTTTAACTAGGCAACATCCTTAACTTTGATTTTGGTTGTATGTTACATATTACCCACATGGGGAAAAGATACGAGAGAAAGCTGAAGCTGAAAAATACAGTAAATAGCAACAAAACTCAAGAAAACAGCAGTCCTTGAGTGTTGTAAGAGATTAATTTTATCATTATAAGATTCCATGTGTCATCTGTACAGTTTTGTACAGGTTAATCTTTCTCAGTGGGTTAGAATACTGCTTTTAGAATACAGTCTTGTTTCACCTTTTACTTAAGGGACAAAAAAACTGAAGTAAAAGGTTTGTTCAGTCATTTGAGTGACAAGGATGTTAACTTTATAAACAAATTTGAAAGCACTCTCAATATTAGTAGATTTTGTAGAGATTTTAATTTGTTTTACAGAGACCACTAACATGTACATACTAGTTAAGGCGAATATCTTTTCTACCATCAAAATGCTCACTTGACATTAATGACTTTCTTTCAGTGGAAATTATTTTTTTAAAATCCTGTTGTCAGTTGTAGTAATATCTTGTATTTTGTATGACTTAGGAATGCATTTTCATTCTTCAGATCTTTGCTTTTAAAGTGATAGAAATTAACTTTTAAAAACATTAGCTGCATACATTATCATGTCCTACCCAAAGCCAGTATTTGTCCATGTTACTAGCAAATGCTATTGGTTTGTCTGAAATAATTTGTAAAAGTACAGAATTTCTGTATCTGCTGATCAAAATGCAGCATTTTTTGACCTTATGAAATTTCACACCCCAACAAGTTTTAAAGACATACAGTATGTCACAGTCTGCCAACATCTGCTCCAACACTTCCACTGGCAGAGGCTGAAATAAATGCTGCACTCTTGGGGAGGGATCCTATTTAGTGACTGACAGTCATCTTATCCATGAAATAAATATTAGTTGACATCTGTAATCTTGTGTAATTAAGTAGTTTGAAGGTACTTGACTCAGATTCACAAGTGAAGTTATAGATCAGCTCCTTAGTTTTTAGAACTATTATTAATATGAATCTTGCACTGAATAAATTATTTTAAATTTATTATTTTTAAAGCTTGATGTACTGTAATCTTAAATTCTGTAAATAAAATCAACTGAAGAAGTGAGTGTAGTGAATTGGGAACTGCTTGAAGAAGTGGTTCAAGCTTCAGCTTTCCCACAGACCATGAGCATGACCTTAGGCAGGTCATTTTCTGAAATGCTCCCATCCTTAGTTCCTTCTTTAGCCTAGTGGAGGTATTGAATTCAGCGGATTTATAAGGTTATTTTAGCCCCTGGCATTCTGTGATTCTGTGAGGTGGACTTTGAGCAGGCCCTTGGAGTAGGGAGGAAGGAATTAAGTAAATCAGAGGAGAAGGATGTTCCAGACTAAGGGTGACAAGAATGTTTTTATTGAGGCATTAAGAGAAGGAACAGTTGGAACAAGAGAGGGTTATTTCACCAGTATTTTCCCTTTTTGCATAGCCACCTTTAGTATATTAAAGAAAAAGAATGCTTTACAAGGTTTTTCTAAGGTTATGTTGGTAAATACTGTGTATGCTTACATCCCTTTTGACAGCTACAGTGTGAGTCCCTATTTTCTGATAATTAAAAACGTTACTGCACTTGTGATCTGTGTGGACTTTAATGAAATTTTACCAAAATAGGCTTTTTATCCTGATGAAAAAAATAGAGCATGAAAACTGGAAGGGATTTTAGAATTGATCTTCACAGTCTTAATTTTGTACTTCCTGTATAATGTAAAATTTTCAAAAAAATAGTCTGTACTTGTTTCTACTTCTTAATCACTGCAATGCAGGTTTCCTCTCTTGCCCACATGATTAAAACCACTTTTGATAATTTCTTTAGTGACCACTTAATTTCTAGTGTGGGGCAAAGAAATACCTTTTCTTCCCATGTTAGGTTCATGGCTAAAGTTCCTATAACAAAAGATGAATTAACAAGAGAAAAGCATGTGAACTCCTTATTTTTTTTAATGTTTCTTTTAAGTTTTACCTGCTTGAAAGGCAGAATGGAGCTTGGAAGAAGGTGTCTTCCATCTGCTGGTTCATTCCCCAAATGCCTGCAACAGCCACGGCTGGGTCAGGCTGAAGCGAGGGGCCATGAACTCTGACCTGGTTTGCAGTGGCCCAAACACCTGAGCCAGCATCTGCTGCTTCCCAGGATGCAATAGTAGGAATCTGGATTGGAAGTGAAGACAGGACTCAGTCCCTGGCATTCCAGTATGGGCAATTGGCATTCCAAGGGACAACTTAACCTGTTGTACTGCAAACACCTGCCCCTGTACATTTATATATTGTACATTTTACACGACAGTGAGGCTTTAGAAATGAAGACCCAAGGAAACACATAAACTTGCGTTTGTTTATGCTTAGGTTTGATGCAGAGGGGAAAAAGATCACAGAGAAATATGACTGGACAAAGTAGGTATTATGTAGTGGTGATGAACTGCGGGAACTCGGCCAGGTCTGTTTGTTCAGATTCTTCTCTGTTGCAGCATCTTTAAAGATAAGCATGTTCCTTCCCACCAGGTATGTCTCCAGTGAGCAGCTTACTGCTTGCTTCAGGGGAAAGTCAGAAAATGCTTCCTAGGTTTTGTGAGGAGACAGGCGGAAAAGGGAGATGAGGCCTTCCTGCTTTCTCTGTGCTCTCAAATGCCTGGTTGCCATTATTCTGGGGGAGTGTATGCTGCACCCCATCGTTTAGTAGACATTTTTCCTGAACTCACATCTGGATTGCATGTTATACTGCTGATCTTATCTCCCCCTTGGGATAATCACTGCCATTGTGTTGTGGGGTTCCTCTCCTGGTTTTTCTCCCTTGGCCTCATGAGTAATTGTGGTATTTATCCGGGTTCTGGCCTATATTCCTCTCACTTTGTACGTTCCCCCTGGGTGGCCACATTGATTCCTGAGGTTTCCTCTACAGCCTGTATGCAGCTTCCTCCCACGTGTCGGCTCTTTGGGCCTGAGCATTAGCTTATTACATTTAGTTGACTGGTGGACATACCTACCTAGGTATTTTTTGTACTTTATCCTGAGCCAAGCCCAAGATAATTTCTTTTCTTTTCTTTTTTTTTTTTTTACATTCAGCATCTCAATTCTGTATGAACAGTAATCTGAATCCATTCCATGCCTTATTTTCCTCTTCATATCTTCACTCCACTTCCAGTCTCTTTCTAGTCCTGCTGATTTTGTTTCTTATTTCTTGACCCCATTATGTCCTTTCCTATAATCAGACTTAGAGTAAGCTCTCATCATGTCTGCCATAGATGCTTAACTGGTTTCTATGCCTCCAGTTTGTACAACTCATATTCTGCCTTCACATGGCTGTCAAAGTGATCTTTCTAAAATTACACCCTAACTATGCCATTCCCCTGTGAAAGCCCTGCCTTGGATCTTCATTGCTTACTGGATAAAGTCCAGCTTCCTTAATGTATCATACAAGAATCTCTTCAATCTGGCCTCTACTTCCAACTTTTGCTTCACTCTCTCGTGCTCTGCTTTTGTGCTTCAGCAGTACTGAACTCTCTATAATTCTCTATACAACTTATGCTGCTTGTTTTACTCTGAACCTTTGTTTATGCTGTTCCCTCTTAATGGAATGTCCTTTCCTCTAGTTGCCTGGATAGTTTCTTTCAATAAAGATTTAATTCAGATTTACATTCCTATCCCCACTCCTTGCTAAGTTACTCCTCTCTGCCCTTCTCAAAGCTGTTATTTTGTTATCATCATGTTGCTTCTTGGTTATTTATGTTCATGTCTCATGCACAAATCTGTGATTTTAGGAAAGAGCTTAGTCTTTTTCTTTTTTATGGATTTATTTATTTATTAGAAAGAGTTACAGAGAGGGAAAGACAGAAAGATCTTCTTTCCTTTGGTTCTCCCCCAGATGGCCACGATAGTCAGGTCTGGGCCAGATCGAAGCCAGGAAACTTCTTCTGGGTCTCCCACGTGGGTGCAGGGGCCCAAGCACTTGGGCCATCTTCCACTGCTTTCCCAGGCCACAGCAGAGAGCTGGATCAGAGTGGAGCAGCCAGGACTCAAACCGGCACTCATATGGGATGTCAGTGTTTGTAGGCAGTGGCTTTACCCACCATGCCACGGTGCTGGCCCATGGTGCAGGCATTTGCTTGGTTTCTCACAAGGGCCTTGTTCTGTGGCATAGCACAGCAGGAAAGTAGAAGGGCAAGCACGATATATGCAGGAGAGGCAAAACATAAGGAGTGGTCTCACTTTATAATGACTGACTCTTGTGATAATTCAGTCCTTTGAAAGCATGAACTCACTACTGTGAGAATTAACCCAGTCCTGTGAGAACAACATTATTCCATTATCCACCCAA